TGGGCACAATCCCAGAGTTCATTTTGCTCAAGGTTAGTGATCTACCACTTGAGCCACAGCTCCACTTCTGGCTTTTTCTGAGTAGTTTATGGGAGATTAAGAGTTTCTGACTTCCCAGGGCAGGCTATGAAATGAACTGTGATCCTCAGACTTTAGCCTTGAGTAGCTAGGATTACAGGCTTGAGCTACTAACCTCCCAGCTCCCTTGTTTTTTTGTTTTTTTTTTTTTTTTGCTTAAAGCTTGTTTGTGCTCCAGCACTTGATTCAAACTTCTACTTACAGCTTTTTGAAGGTTAATAGGAATTAAGAATCTTAGGGACTTTTCTGCCTGGTCTGGCTTTGAATTGCAATTCTCAAATCTCACCCTCCTCAGTTGCTAGGATAATGTATGATCTACTGGCTTCCTTTTTTTTGTTGTTGTTGTTTTTGTTTTTTGCCAGTCCTGGGGCTTGAACTCAGGGCCTCAGCACTGTACCTGCACTTTTTGCTCAAGGTTAGTACTCTACCACTTATGCCACAGCACCACTTCCAGCTTTTTTTGTTTATGTGGTAACTGAGGAATTGAACCCAGGGTTTCATGCAGGCTATGCAAGCACTCTACCACTGAGCCACATTCCCAGCTCCCCCCCCCCCCACCCCTTTTTTTGTCATGATACAGTTGAGATTTACATATACTTTTTTCTTTTTAAAATTTTATTTATTTTGTCAGTTGTGGGTCTGGGCCTGGGCTCTGTCCCTCAGCTCTTCAGCTCAATGCTAGCCCTCTACCACAGTACTTCTGGCCTTTTCTGTTTATGTGGTGCTGAGGAATCAAACCCAGGGCCTCAGGCATGCAAGACAAGCACTCTACTATTGAGCCACCTTCCCAGCCTTCTTTTTTTTTTTTTTTTGTCATGATACAGTTGAGATTTACATACTTTTTTCTTTAACAAATTTTAAAAATTATTATGATAAAGGTGAATACAGAGGGGTTACAGTTCTGTAAGTCAGGTAATGAGTACATTTTTTTTTTTTTTGACAATGTCACAACTTCCACCTTTTTTCTTCTTAGAAAAGAATTGAGCCAGGTGCTGGTGGCTCATGTTGTAATCATAGCTATTTGGCTGGCTGCCATAGAGGAGATGGAGGCAAGGCTAGGTTAGGAGAAAAATAGTTTACAAGATCTCTTCTGGAACAATAGCTAGATATAGTGTAAAGTGCCTGTCAATCTAAATTAGGAGGGGAAGCCTGGTATAAGGCTGGTCAAGAAGTGAGACCCAATGTCAAACATACCAAGTGCAGCTGGGCAGGGATAACATGTATGTAAACCTAGTTATTCAGGAGACTGATATCTAAGGAAAGTGGTTCAAAGTTAACCCCAGCAGAAAAATCTATGATAAGCTTATATCCAATTAACTAGCAAAAAATAGGAAGTGGAGCTATGGCTCAAGCGGAAAGACTATTAGCCTTGAGCAAGAAAAGATAGCATGGGGCTGGGAAGATGGTTCAATGGTAGAGCGCTTGCCTTGCATGCATGAGGCCCTGGGTTCGATTCCTCAGCACCACATAAGCAAAAAGAAAAAAAGCCAGAAGTGGCGCTGTGGCTCAAGTGGTAGAGCACTAGCCTTGACCTGAAGAGCTGAGGGACAGCGCCCAGGCCCAGAGTCAGGCCCCACGACCAGACCCAAAAAAAAAAAGAAAAGATAGCATGGTAGGCCCTAAGTTCAAACAGTACTGGCACAGAAAAAAAAATACAAAAAAGGACTGATGTGTGGCTCAGCAGCAGAGCTTCTATCTAGCAAGCATGAGGGCCTGAATTCAGTTCCCAGTACTGCAAAAAAAGTTATGAATAGAATTCCATTTTCTAATATAATTTCATTTTCTAGAAAGTTATGTTGGGTCTATTTTTATTTTTTCCTTTTCCATTAAAGGAGCAGAATACTGAACAGTGTTAAAGAACTTGCCCAGATGATCAGATGTTGGCAAGGATTAAAGTGAACTTAATACTGTTGGAAATGAGGATCCTTAACATGATTATGATTTTTGTATTACTTTTCTTTGGAACTCTCTTTTGAGAAAGTCTTTTTTTTGTTTTTTTTGGGTCCGGTCATGGGGCCTGAACTCTGGGCCTGGGCACTATCCCTCAGCTCTTCAGCTCAAGGCTAGCGCTCTACCACCTGAGCCACAGCGCCACTTCCGGCTTTTTTTTTTCTTTTTGCTTATGTGGTGCTGAGGAATCGAACCCAGGGCCTCAGGCATGCAAGGCAAGCACTCTACCACTGAGCCACCTTCCTAGCCCTGAGAAAGTCTTACATTAGTTCCAATTTGTACCCTGTCTATGTGCTCTTCCATATGTGGTTGTCAAGATGTTGTTTATCTAACACTTAGTCCATGTAGAAAATAGAAGCAACCTGGGAACTCTTGCTTAAGAAACACGATTAATTTCTATTACTACTGGACAAAGTACAGCAGAGGGTGCTTGTTTAAGGCCTCTGGTATGTCTAGGGATGTGAGCAACAGCCCATGTTCCAAGGCCTGCTTAATCAATACTGTCTCCATGAACAAATTCTTTTTTTTTTGGTCGGTTGTGGGGCCTGAACTTTGGGTCTGGGCACTGTTCCTCAGCTCTTCAGCTCAAGATTTGAGCCACGGTACCATTTTCAGCTTTTTCTACTTATGTGGTGCTGAGGAATCGAACCTAGGGCCTCATGCATGCAAAGCAAGCTCTCTACCACTGAGCCACCTTCCCAACCTGTGAACAAATTCTTTCTAAAATAGATAACAGCAAAATTCTTATTATCCATCCCTGCAGCTGTATTTACACACACACAAAAAACGTGTGGAACTTTAAGCTTTTCTCTTCAATGCTATATATGTGTGTGTCCCTTAGCAGGTTCCTGTTTAACCTATTGTCTGTCTGATTTTTGGCATTATTTTTTGGTTATGAACCTAGTATTTCACTTATGTTGCACATTTAAGATGTTAAGTCAGTCGATTTCTTGTTTTCCTTTAACTTGAAAGTTCTATAATGCCCTATGGATTTTCTCAAGTCTCTTCATAAATGCAATTTAAAAGATTTTTGGTGCCAATCTTGGGCCTTGAACTCAGGGCCTGGGCACTGTCCCTGAGCTCTTTTGCTCAAGGCTAGTACTCTACCACTTGAGCTACAGCTTCACTAACTGCTCTTGTTTTTCTTTTCCACTAAAGCTTTTTGGTGGTTAATCAGAGATAAGAATGCCATGGATTTTACTGCCTGGGCTGGCTTAGACCCACAATTCTCAGATTGCAGCCTCTTGAGTAGCAAGGATTATAGGCATGAGGCACTGGCACCTGGAAATAAATGCAATTAAAATTCTAATCAGTTCTGGATTTATGTATTCTCCAGACATTCTCAAACATTCCTAAATATGCTGTGTCCTTCATCTTTCCTCCATTCTGAGTTGATGTCATGGTTCACTTCTTTCTTTGTGTATGCTGGAGCTTGAACTCTGGGCCTGAGCACTGTCCCTTATCTTTTTGCTCAAGGCTGGTGTCTTCCACTTGACCCATAGTCCCACTTCTGGTTATTTTGGTAGTTAATTGGAGATAAGAGTCTCATGGATTTCTTGCCCAGGCTGACTTTTAACCATGATTACCCTAAGCCATGGCTCAAGTGGCAGAATAGTGCCTATTAAGCAAAAGCAAGATCCTGAATTTAAACCCCAAGAACAACAACAGAAGAAGAAGAAGAAGGAGAAGGAGAAGGAGAAGGAGAAGGAGAAGAAGAAAAGAGAAAACAGAGCTCAGGCTCAGTATGGAGCAGCAGATTTTACCATTTCAGTCCCTTCTTAGATCTCAGCCTCCTGAGCAGCCAGAATTATAGGAGTGAGCCACTGGTGGTTATCTAACATAACTTACCTGCACTGGAACTGGACATATGGCTCAAGTGGTAGTGTGTCAGCTCTGAGTGAAAAAGCCATGCAAAGAGAGAAAGAGAGGTCCTGAGTTCAGGCCTCAGTACTGGTGCACGCGAGTGTGCACACCCACCCACATCCACACTCACTCTAGAATAGTGAGTTTTTCAGTTTGTTTTTTTAACTTAGGTTGGCTTTGGACCTAGAACCTCCAGGTCTTACCCTTCTAGACAGTTAGGATTACAAGGGTGAGCCACAGGTGCTAACTCAAATTCTTTTTCATAAACACATGATGATGCAAAGTATATTGCATACACCTCTTGGAATTTATTTTTTTCAGATAAGGTCTTGTTATATTGCCTACACTGGTCTTGAACTTGAGGGTTTGACTATGTCTCAAAAACATGTAAACACACACACACACCCACACACACAAAGTCATTATTAAAAAGTGGGGAGCTATAGGCCATGGCTAAAGTAGTAGAGTGCCTGCCTAGCAAATGGAAGGCCCAGAATTTAAACCCTAGAACCACTAAAAAGAAAGGAAATAAAAAAGAAAGAAAGAAAGAAAGAAAGAAGGAAGGAAGGAAGGAAGGAAGGAAGGGAGGGAGGGAGGGAGGGAGGGAAGGAAGGAAGGGAAGGAAGAAAAAGAAAGAAAGAAAAAGAAAGAAAGGAAAAGAGAGCAGAGCTCAGGCTCAGTGAAAAATTGTAGGTTTTACAATTTCAGCCTTATCTTAGTCTTTTCAGATTATGCTGTAAGGAATTTATGGAACAGATACAATAATAGGATAAAGAATAACCTGCCCTTCTCACGAAAGAAAACTACTTCTAGGCTTTTGGAGTGTCTTATTTTTTTATAGATTTTATGAGTCAAGACTGACACAGTTTTGTTTTTAACAGAACAAAAGTGAAAACAAACTTCAAATAAATATTTTATTTTATTTTATTTTTTTATTTATTTTTTGGGTCCGGTCGTGGGGCCTGAACTCTGGGCCTGGGCACTGTCCCTCAGCTCTTCAGCTCAAGGCTAGTGCTCTACCACTTGAGCCACAGCGCCACTTCCGGCTTTTTTTTTTTTTTGCTTATGTGGTGCTGAGGCATCGAACCCAGGGCCTCATGCATGCAAGGCAAGCGCTCTACCACTGAGCCACCTTCCCAGCCCCAAATAAATATTTTAATTATGTTATCATACAAAGTAGAACAGAGTTGTATATGTACCTACATATGCATCCATATGTATGTATATACATATAAAACTATGCAATCATATACAAAGTATAAAGAGAATATACAGAAAAGTTTGTAGTAGGATACTGGCATGTCTCCTCATTACTTTGTAATACACTCAATGCAACACTGTACTAGGTAGATAGGATTGCTTTAGAGCTAGAGAATCTTATATAAATGAATTTGTTCCAGGGCTTCTCTGTCAATATCCTTTTGTGGGTATACCTCATAGTTCAGTGGTACCTCTTCAACCCAGACGGATAACTCTATATTGGTCTAGGAAAGAGAAGAAAACAAACAAACACTGAAAACTGCACAATGAGCCACTCTCTGGAATTTCCTAAAGCCATCCTATCACAGGACTTGACATCGTAGGTTTTATTCTGTGGGGCCACATGAATACTTTTGGATTGTACTACATGGCAAGTTTATTCTGATTTTGGAACTTGAAAGAATCAAATATAGACTAATTATTTTCATGTAGTAGGTAGAGTGAAATAAGTGCATCAGGCTTAAACAACAGTGGACTAAAACAACAATGGGAGTACACAGAAAACACAGCATGGCTGTTCAGAGATCCCCAGTAGTGGTGGGAACAGCCTTCATGAGACCCATCCCCCCACAAACACAAATCCCTGCCACAGAAACTGAGGCACCATGGCACAGAAAGCTCTCTTGAGGAGGAAAAGAATATAGTTATCAAGAATTTACCTAGCCTCTTTTTAAATATTATGGCTTTTTAAAAATATTAAGCCATTTCGAATGGTTGTTTGGAAAGATTTATGTATTTAGTATGAAAGCTGTTATTCTGGCAAGTGAAAAACCACTAAATTACTCCACACAAATGGGAGACACAATAAATAATGGTTTTGCTTTAGTTATTATTCCAAATAGGGAAAACTCTTGGATGGCCTGATCCTCCTATTTATATCTTCCATATAGCTGGGATGACTGGTGTGTAACATTATGCTCAGCTTATTGGTTAAAATAGGGTCCCTATTTTTTGCCTGGGCTGGCCTCAGCCAGTGATCCTCTTAATCTCTACTTCTAAAACAGCTAAAATTATAGGGATTAGCTATCACACTGGACATTTTAAAAAGTATTTTAGCTTTTTGTTTTGAGAAAGGGGTCTCTCTCTCTCTCTGTGTTACCTAGGCTGGTTTTGAATTTTGTGCAAAAGAGATATGAGATCTCTCACAAAGCTGGAACTAAACGCGTGGCTACTCCTGGATATGATATGGGTATCATGTCTCTTACAGATATATTCACTAGTGTTGGTTATCTTGTTTTTTTCCTTACTTTTTTTTCTCCCTAGAGCTGAGGACCAAACTCAGGGCCTTGCACTTGCCAGGCAAATGCTCTTCCACTGAGCTAAATTCCCAATCCCGGCTAGTGTTTGGTAACTTAAAACTATTGCCACCTAGTTTAATAAGTTGAATAGAGAAGCAAGGGACTCAATCTATATTTAGATGTGAAATACATTTCAGGGGCTGGGAAGGTGGCTCAGTGGTAAAGTGCTTGCCTTGCATGCATGAGGCCCTGGGTTTGATTCCTCAGCACCATGTAAGTGGAAAGAAGTGGTGCTGTAGTTCAAGTGGTAGAGCATTAGCCTTGAGATGAAGAGCTCAGGGACAGCATCCAGGCCCAGAGTTCAGGCCCCATGACCGACAAAAAAATAAAAATAAAAAAATAAAAAATAAATACATACATATATACATATACATATATATTTCAGGACTTTTGAGATCAGGAAATAAACCAAAAATCTATATTTAAGCAATAATATTGGTCAATACTGGCACTAGTGGCTTACCCCTGAAATACAGCCAACTTGGCAATTGGAAGATCATGGTTTGAGGCCAGGCTGGGCAGAAAACTCTGTGAGACTCCATCTTAACAGAGGGAAGCTGGATGCAATGGTGTCTGTCTGTCATCCCAGAACCAACAAGGAAGCTTAAAATAGGTGGGTGGTAGATGAGGTGTGCATCTGGGTAGAAAGTGAAACCCTAACTCAAAATTAACCAGTTCTAAAAAGGTCTGGAGGTATGACTCTGTGGCACAGCACCTGCCTAACAAGTGTGAGGCCTGTAGTGCAAACACCAGTAACAGAAGAAAAAAAAAAAGCAGCAGCAAAAAACTTTGGCAATGAAAGTGCTAGAAAAGTATGCTGGGCACTAGTGACTAATGCTTCTCTATGTAGAAGTCTGAGAAAGAGAGGACTGTGATTCAATGCTAGCCAGGGCAGAAAAATTCACAAGCCCCCCTTTTTTTTTGCTGGTCCTGGGGCTTGAACATAGAGCTTGGGCTCTGTCTTTGAGCCTCTCTGTACTCAAGGTAACATTCTACCACTTGAGCCACAGACTCACTTCTGGCTTTTTCTGTTTTTATGGTACTAAGGAATCAAACCCAGAGCTTCATGCATGCTATGCAAGCACTCTATCACTAAGCCACATTCCCAGCCATAAAACCTTTTTAACCCACAGCTAGACATAGTTGTGTATGTCTGTCACCCCAAGCTATGTGGGAGGCTGAGAGTGGAAGAATCATGGTTCAAGACACACATGTATGGAAACACAGAATGAAATTTTGTATAGTTATTATATGCTAATTTTTAAAAACAGGCTTACATACTTGAAGGCCTGAAAGAGAATCTTCAAGACTTGGTACTGTCACTAATAATGATCCTTTTTTCCTTACGTTGTGGCTGATATATTCCCAGGCACTACAATACATTAAAAAAAAAAAAAAGTACATTAGAGAAGAATAATAAGCTATTACTACCCATCTACTAGAATGGACAAAATTCAAACCACTAAAAACACTAAATGCTGGTAAAGATGTGGAACAAAAGAAACTCATTCATGACTAGTAAGAATGCAGAAAGATGCAGTCATTTGGAAGACAGCAGGATTGTTTGTTTTGTTTCTTTGTAGTGCTTGGGTCTGACCCCAGGCCTTGGGCATGATGAACAAGTACTCAATCTGTAAATTACAGTTCCAGTTGTCAGGAAATTTCTACTACAACTAAAAACATGCTTACCATGCAATCCAGATATTGTGCTCCTTGAGATTTACCCAAAGGAGTTGAAAACTTATCTACACAAGCTGGGCGCCTGTGGCTCATGCCTGTAATCCTAGCTACTCAGGAGGCTGAGATCTGAGGATCATAGTTCAAAGCCAGATCCAAAGGAAAGTCCTTGAGACTCTTATCTCCAATTAACCACCAGAAAACCTGAAGTAGAGCTGTGGCTCCAAGTAGCAGAGCACTAACCTTGAGCTGAAAAGCTCAGAGACAGTGCCCAGGCCCAGAGTTCAAGCCCCACAACCAACCAAAAAAAAAAAATGTTTTGCCTTGTGGCTAGAAGTGTGACTCAAGTGGTAGAATAACTGCCTTGCAAGCACAAGGCCCTGGGTTCAATCCTCAGTACCCCATGTAAAAGAAAAGTATATATAAAATTCCTACCTAATATATACAACATGTTTCCTTAATAAAATAAATCTCATAGTTAAGGCTTAAAAAAGTTTAATTTGGAAACATTTCTAACATACCTTGTTGGATTTTTCTTTCTTTTTGTCAGTCATGGGGCTTGAATTCAGGGCCTAGGCACAGTACTATATATATATATATTGATGGTAGTGGGGGGAGTCAGTGAACTCTGGGCCTGGGCACTGTCCCTGAGCTCTTCAGCTCAAGGCAAGCACTCTACCACTTGAGCCACAGCGCTACTTCTTGTTTCCTGGTGGTTTATTGGAAACTTACATACTTTCCCGCCCAGGCTGGCTTTGAATTGCGATCCTCAGATCTCAGTCTCCTGAGTAGTGCATGGCTTAGGATATATTTTTGTAATGGATTTCTTATGGGAAAACTAACATACCTGACTTGTTGTGTCTCATTAAGAAAATATTCGAAGACGTTATTCATGATGATGACATCAGCATTTTGCAGAAGTGAGCCCTGGGTACAGATGTCTGCATGAAGCACCTACAGAAGAATGAGTTCATGTGAGAGAAGGCTGCCATATAAGAACCAGGTCCTGCTCAGTGTGGAGAAGTACCATGAGTGGTCCACACTTCTGACTGTGGGTAAGAGCAGGCTACGGGATTCCCACAGGAGTTACTTTCCATCTAGTAAAACATAGAAACCTGCTAAGATTTGATTGTTTTGTTTTTTCCTTTTATTTCATAAAAGTTCTTTGAACTCTCAGTTCATAGATCTTCTACTCTATTTTTTTTTTTTTGGTCTGGTCATGGGGCCTGACTCTGGGCCTGAGCGCTGTCTCTCAGCTCTTCAGCTCAAGGCTAGCACTCTACCACTTGAGCCATAGCAGCACTTCTGGCTTTTTTTTTCTGGTTATGTGGTGCTAAGGAATCGAACTCAGGGCCTCATGCGTGCATGGCAAGCGCTCTACCACTGAGCCACCTTCCCAGTCCCCCACCCCCAACTCTTTTTCTAGGGAGTCAGTCCTGAGGTTTCCACTTAGGGCTTGGCAGCTGTTTGACAGAAACTCTGCTTCTTGAGCCACACTTCTAGCCAATTTTCCCAACATTTACTGAGTATCTCCTATGTGCAAGATACAATGTAGGGAGATAGAAAGTACCATAAATGAGACACAAAATATATGCTCTCAAATATATTACAATCTAGTAATGGAATGGAAAGCTATTATACATAATTAACTCTATAAAAATGCCAAGAAGGGTTGGGAATGTGGCTCAGTGGTAGAGTGCTTGCCTAACATGTATGAAGCCCTGGGTTTGATTCCTCAGTACCACAAAAACAGAAAAAGCTGGAAGTGACTGTGTGGCTTAAGTGGTAGAATACTAGCCTTTAGCAAAAGACATGAGAGGGGCTGGGAAGGTGGCTTAGTGGTAGAGTGCTTGCCTTGAATGCATGAAGCCCTGGGTTCGATTCCTGAGCACCACATAAACAGCAAAAGCCGGAAGTGGCTCTGTGACTCAAGAGGTAGAGTGCTAGCATGAGCCGAAGAGCTTAGGGTCAGCACCCAGGCCCAGAGTTCAAGACCCACAACCAACAAAAAAAAGAAAGAAAGAAAGAAAGAAAGAAAGAAAGAAAGAAAGAAAGAAAGAAAGAAAGAAAGAAAGAAAGAAAGAAAGAAAGAAAGAAAGAAAGAAAGGAAGGAAGAAAGAAGACATTGAGAGTTCAAGCCCCAGGACTGGGGGGGTGGGGTGGGAAACAGTGCCAAGGAGAGAGTAAGCCAAAACCAGGTGAGAAGGGAAGGAAAGAAGAGAGCTGCAATAGTTATAGGATGGCACACGAGAAAGTTTTTTAGGGGCTATATAGTTCAGTGGAAGAGCAGTTTTTTAAAATGTGTAAGGTCCTGAGCTATTCCTATCACAGAAGTGGAGAATGGGCTGGGATGTAGCTCAGTGGCAAAGCGCTTGCCTAGCAAGTGCAACGTCCTGGGTTCGATCCCCAGTACCAAAAAAGAAAAGCCAAAAAAAATGCAGTAAAAAAAAAAAACCCAAACAAGAAGTGGAGAAAAGGAGTTTCATAATCCATCACAGGCTGCTGGTGACCATAGAAATTATAAGCTACAGGGCTAGGAAGGTGGCTTGCATGCATGAGGCCCTGGGTTCGATTCCTCAGCACCACAATAACAGAAAAAGCCAGAAGTGGTGCTGTGGCTTAAGTGGTAGAGTGCTAGCCTTGAGCTGAAGAGCTGAGGGACAGTACCCAGGCCCAGAGTTCAAGTCTCATGACCTACCCCTCCCCCCAGAAAAAAATGTGGCTCAGTGGTAGAGTGCTTGCCTCGCATGCATGAGGCCCTGGGTTCGAACTCCCAGCACCACATAAACAGAAAAGGCAGGAAGTGGCGCTGTGGCTCAAGTGGTAGAATGCTAGCCTTGAGCTGAAGAGTTCAGGGACAGCACCCAGGACCAGAGTTCAAGCCCCACAACTGACCAAGAAAAAAATTAAGAAGGAAAAAAAAAGATTATTATACATTACCATAAAAATTGGGGAAGGTTAGATCCTCTTTTAAAAATATACTACTGGACATATTTATAAGATTATGTCTTTGTTACCTTGTATGTCCCTCCCCTATGGTACAATCCCTGTTTTCACTATGTATGATGTTGGTATATGTGGAGGGGAAGGGAAAAAACAAATTGTTAAAACAGGGATACAGGAGGACTCATTGCAACAATGAGATGTACAAGTCATTATGTCGAAAAACGAACTTTACAACTTGGTGGGGGAGGGCGGGGGAGGGGAGGATGGGAAGGGATGGGAAGGGGAAACAAAGCAGGAGGCTACAATGTTTGATAAAAATGTGCTCATTATCTTACCCATGTAATTGTAACCCCTCTGTACAGTATTTTCACAATAAAAATATATTAAAAAAATATACTACTGGGCCTGGTCTGGTGGCTCATGTCTATAATCCTAACAACTCAGGAGGCTGAGATCTGAGGATCACGGTCAAAAGCCAGCTGGGGCAGAAAAGTCTATAAAGACTCTTATCTCCAATAAACCACCAGAAAACCAGAAGTGGCGCTATGGCTCAAGTGGTAGAGCGCTAGCCTTGAGCTGAAGAGCTGTGGGACAGCACCCAGGCAGAGTTCAAGCCTCACAACCGACAAAAAAAATATCCTACTGGGCTGTCTTTCAAGATTAGATTGCCCTTAACATTAGAGGTAGCTAGTACTCTGTGTCATCATCACAAGTAATGGATTCTTAGTGAAACAACAGGACTTCTTTTTTTTTCTTTTTGTTGGTCATGGGGCCTGAACTCTGGGCCTGGGCACTGTCCCACAGCACTTCAACTCAAGGTTAGTGCTCTACCACTTGAGCCAGTGCCACTTCTGGCTTTTTCTGCTTATGTGGTGCTGAGGAATCGAACCCAGGTCCACATGCATGCAAGGCAAGCACTCTACCATGGAGACACCTTCCCAGCCCCAAACAACAGGACTTTTACATTAATAAATGAAATTTCTGTTTGTGTGGTTTAAATTTTTTTCTTCTTTATAGCAGAAAAAGAAAACCTAACCCAAGGCATCATCCTTCATGAACTACTACTATTCTGTGGTATCCACAATAGCTTCTGTAAGCTTAGATAAAGTAACCTGTGAGTGTTACATAGCCCTTTTAAAAATTTTCAAAATTTACAGTTTAATGAATAAATTATTAGCCAATCTCTAGAGATTAAAAAAAGTTGCTATCAAAACTATGGACAAAACTGAGAAAAAAATTCTACTTTCTAATAAAATTAGCAAGGAAGAACCATATGAGTGATAAAATTATAACACTTCAGTTTTACTAGTGTTTTAAAATATTAAAGCCAAGGCCAGGTTCTGGTGGCTCCCACCTGTAATCCTAGCTACTCAGGAGGCTGAGATCTGAGGATCACAGTTCAAAGCCAGCTTGGACAGGAAAGTCCTTGAGACTTTCATCTCCAATAAACCACCAAAAAACTGGAAGTGGTGCTGTGGCTCAAGTGGTAGAACACTCACCTTGAGCTGAAGAGCTCAGGGACAGTGCCCAGGCCCAGAGTTCAGGCCCCACAACCGACAAAAAAAAAAAAAAAGCCAACCTGGTCTGTTTCTACATAACCACCCAGAACAAGTTAAAAAGCAATGCAGAAGGGATTGAGTTCAGTTAAGATATACATGGATAGGGCTGGGAAGGTGGCTCAGTGGTAGAGTGCTTGCCTTGCATGCATGAGGCCCTGGGTTCGATTCCTCAGCACTACAGAAGCAAAAAGGAAAAAAAAAAAAAGCCAGAAGTGGCACTGTGGCTCAAGTGGTAGAGCGCTAGCCCTGAGCTGAAGAGCTGAAGGACAGAGCGCCCAGGCCCAGAGTTGAAGCCCCACAACTGAATCAAAAAAAAAAAAAAAAGATATACATGGGTAACATGATACATATTTTGACGTACCTTTATTCTGTCACTGAACTGGTATTTTTTAATGACCATTTCCTGCAATTGGCAAAAGTCTCCATTCAATTCTACTCCATAGAGCTGTATAGCTGAACTGTAAAGGTAACCCTAAAAACAGGAAAATATATTTTGATGTAAATCAATTAACTTTTAAGTGTGTTTATTTCTACTAGAATTTAAAAAGTCAAACTTCAAAAAAAGAAAAAAAAAAGCAGACACAAAATAAAAAAATCAAACGTAAGAAAAGTCCAATGAAGTAAATATAAAATGAAACATCTTGATTATGTAAAACTTATGACATCTAGAACTCTGCTATACTACAATCAAGGCCTTGGTTGTAGTTTATTAGTTCCCATCATGGATTTATAATTTTATTTTCTGAGAAAAAACTGGGGCATTTAACAAAGTTGGAAATAAGAAAAAGATTACATACAGTTTCTCTACTACCCAATTTCTAGAGAAGTTACATCAAAAGAAAGGAGGAAATGAAGCCAGGCTCCAGGGGCTCACGTCTGTAATCCTAGCTATTCAGGTGGCTGAAATCTGAAATCAAAAAAGCCAGAAGTGGCGCTGTAGCTCAAGTAGTAGAGTGCTAGCCTTGAACACAGAGGCTCAAGGATGGCACCTGGCCCTGAGATCAAGCCACAGGACCAGTAGAAACTACAACAACAACAACAACAAAACACCAAACCAAACCAAAAAACAAATAAGAGGAAGAAATAGATTGATAATTCATGCAGAGTCTGACACTGGGGAAGGTGACCTAAGTCAGGACAATGACTGATGGAAGTCTGCCTGGTGCCTAGCCAAGTTATCTAACCAATTACTAAGAAGGATGGTCAAGAATTGACGATCTGGCTGGATGCCAGTGGCTCACACCTGTAATCCTAGTTACTCAGGAGGCTGAGATCTAAGGATCAAAGTTTGAAGACACCCTGGAAAGGGAAGAAGTCCTTGAGACTCTTATCTCCAATTAACTACCAAAAAAGCTGTAAGTGGAGCTGGGCCCTGGGTTCAATTCCTCAGCACCACATAAGAAGAAAAAGCCAGAAGTGGCGCTGTGGCTCAAGTGGTAGAGAACTAGCCTTGAGCTGAAGAGATCAGGGAAAGCACCCAGGCCCAGAGTTCAGGACCCACGACCACCACCAACCAAAAAAAAAAAAAAAAAGAATTTTCAGAATATATGTAACTGATTGAATCAGTGACCTATATGAAGAGAAACATCAATCTATTTAAATTTATCAACACCAGCACTATAACCACATAGCCAGAAATTTTATCTAGCATTATACTAATAGAACACTTCTTTTGTAGTCCAGCTAGGCTGGAACCTGAGCACTTCTTTCCTGAGCTTCATGAGTGCTGAGATTATAGGTATGTCAGCATTTTACTTTTTCAACAAATCTGAATATTGATTAGCACCTATAAAATAAAGGAAACAATAATCCTAATTTCTATTTTTTTCTAAACAAAAAAACATTGGACAAATGAGTTAGTTGGCCTCAGGAGGTTGAGGCCAGAGAATAGCTTGTGCCCAGGAGTTCAAGGCCAGCTTGGTTGATAAAGCAAGACTCTCATATCCAAGAGAGAGAAAGAGAGGGAGAGAGAGAGAGAGACAGAGACAGAGACACAAAGACACAGAGAAATAGAACTGTAAAGGTAACCCTAAAAACAGGAAAATATATTTTGATGTAAATCAATTAACTTTTAAGTGTGTTTATTTCTACTAGAACGATATGAACACCAAACCAATACCCCCTCCCCACCAAAAAGCACAAATAACTATAAACTAAAAACTAAAAACCAAGCAATGAAAACTAATACATAAATTTTCTATGTAGAACACAAGTTCTGCCAGGCACCAGGTGGCTCACACCTATAATCCTAGCTACTCAGGAGGCTGAGATCTGAGGATCCTGGTACAAAGCCAGCCCAGGCAGGAAGATCCACAAGACTCTTACTTCCAATTAACCTCCAAAAAGAGGTAGGTGAAGACTTAAGCCATAGAGAGCTAGCTTTGAGCATAAAAGTTCAGGCATAGCACCCAGGCCCTGAGTTCAAAAGACCTGGTTAAAAAATAAAAGTTTTAACATTAAAAATTAATTAAGCACTGAAGAGTTCATTGTTTCTGGTGAAAGCAGGCAATGCTGCTGGGAATTGAGTGTAGGTTTCTGGCATCATGAGTCTCTACTGCTGTTGGCCACATGTATTAACATGTCTACTAATAACAACCAGAAACCATGTTTCAGTGTTTTTTTGATAAAACCGTTTCAGAACTTAGAAATTCACAGGATTTGAATTTAAAAGAAAAACTACACTGAAGTGGTAGTTCAGAACCAGATATCTACATTCAAACATTCACAGAAAATTGGAACAAGATTTGTCGTTTAGTTTGCTCATTACAGATGAGGAACTAGAGGTGTTAAGTGACTTGCCATAAAGCTGCACAACGACTGTTTTGTCAGTTTTCTAAGGCTTCTTAGCAAAGCCTAGCATATTATTTCATTCCAGCACAGTATAAAGAAAATAAAGGTAAGAAGACCTTGGAGACTGGCAAACAGCACAGCGTTACAAAAGTCACATGCTTATTTTGTTTACATTTGTCATCTGCATTGAGGAGGCAAGCTGGTAAAGGGAACCAAACCGTTGGTCTTTGAAATTCCCAACTCAACCATAAGCATCAAATAGAACTAGGAGCTTGTCTATGTTATAGACTACTTTATCCTTTTGCTGTTACTTTTTAATAAATAAAGCCAAGCTGTCACCTTGGATGGTGGCAGGCAAAGAAAGCTGTTGCTAGCAGGAGAAGAAAGTATTTTCCAAATGCTGCATATGTCCACAAGCTGGACTTTACCCCATAAAGGACTGTGCCAAGTCTGGAGCCAACGTCAACCAAGACCTTTCCCGACAGGTCAGGGAGTACATGATGATAAATGAACTTCAACTCCACGATGGAGAAGGAATGAGAAAGAAATCCTGGAGAATCAGAACAAGAGGGAACATCAAATTGTAGCTATTAACAATTACAGTCTGTACTTCTAATTCTCTTGCCTGCATTCATAAAGTATACAATGAAGGCCCTCCAGTTTATTCAGAGTTTTTTAATTTTGTTTTTTAATTTTAATAGGGCTGGAACTCAGAGCCTGTGTGCTGTCCCGAGCCTCTTTGTGCACAAGGCTAGTGCTCTACCACTTGCGTCACAGCACCACTTCTAGCTTTTTCTGAGTTGTTTATAGGAGATAAGAGTCTCACAGACTTTTCTCCCTGGCTGGCTTCAAACCACAATCCTCAGGTCTCAGCTTGTGAGTAGCTAGGATTATAGGTGTGAGCCACTGTGTGAGCCTGGTTTCATAAAATACTAATGGGATAATTTTGTATCCATCCACTCTGAGCTGTATTAGTGAAGAACAAATACTAAGTTTGATATTTAAGAGACTACTAGATTATCCTCACAGACACTCAGGTGTCTGTCCATAGCCACGTGCCCTTATTTCCTTCTTACTGCTGCTGGGGATGTCCTGGGTTTTCCTTTCCTTTTTTCCTTGTGATCTGTTTCTGCCTAAGACAGTTTTGTAATTCCTACATTATCTGGCTTTCTCATCTTAGGCCAGAGCTAACTTCAAAACTACCACATATTGCTGCATACATTGTGAAGCAGAAAACAAATGACTACCTCTGAATGTGCATTCTGAAGTGCAAGAGAAGAGAAATGGAAGGAGACTAAGATATCTCCCTAAATGGCCTTTAATTCCATTCCTTGCTTCTTTATTTGCCCTCCATATCCCAGTTTCTGTGATAACCTGAGTCTGGTTTTCTTTTAATAGGAGTTAACCCCAAAACTCACTATGTTGTGTCCTATATATCCATAAAAGTCAGGACGGGGAGAGACCTTGGTTATAGCTATCAGAAGGTGGCAAAGAAAATGGGTTTTGGTAAGCCAATCTCTTGGAACAGAATACTAAGTATGCCTAGGTTTCAAAAGTATCTATTGGGCTTAGGGTGTCATTATCTGCCCAGGATGGTGAGGTTTGTCATAGCAGTCCTTCTTCAGGCTACAGAATTGTCATTAGTGTAGCTAAACTCCTTGTCCTATGAGTATTTGTCAGAGTCCCTCATGGTAATAGCTATTTCAGATTCATTGCAGTTATCTGAGTTGCTTTGGAAATCCAGTCATATTTATAATCTAAATTTTATGGGTAGAGGTAATATAATATTCAGATTTTTGTCTAAGTTCATCTGTAAACTTCTTTCCCTCCCTTCCTCCCTCCCTCTTTTTTTTTGTCTCCCTCTCCTCCCCTCCTTTTCTGTTCCCTCCTTTCCACTTTCCTCAGATCCCAACTTCTTGACTAGCTAGGATTATAGGCCTGAGCCACTGGTGCCTGGCTATAAAATTCTATAAAAGCAGCCGGGCACCGATGGCTCACACCTGTAATCCTAGCTACTCAGGAGGCTGAGATCTGAGGATTGCAGTTCAAAGCCAGCCCGGGCAGGAAAGTCCGTGAAACTTTTATTTCCAATAAACCACTAGAAAACTGGAAGTGGCACTGTAGTTCAAGTAGTAGAGCACTAGCCTTGAGCTGAAGAGCGAGGAACAGCGCTCAGGCCCAGAGTTCAAGCCCCATGACCGACAAAAAAATAAATTAATTTAAAAAAATTCTACAAAGCAGATCTACTTAATTTGGCATTCTAATTCACTTTTTAGTTTTTTCTCTATTGTTCTTGTCCAAGTCTTTTTTATTCTGTGAATTTCAATGACTTCAAATTGACATTATCTAGAAGTTAATCTTACTGGTATATCAGGTTTATTTCAAATTATAATATAGGATTAACCTATTTTGTATTAGCAACAAATTTCAACATTGGGAGTAGTTAACCTTTGAGAAGAATCTTAATCCAAGATCAGTATTAGAAGCACAAGATTACCTACCTGGAAAGTTGTCAACCTCTTGCCTAAGTAACAACTTTCAAGCTAAGGGAGCAGGGAAATGTATGTCTAAAGCAACAGCCTGGATAATTCCATCCAGTTTGAATAAAGGGCACATAAACAGAACATGGAGTCAGTCTAGTTTCCTGTTGCTGTAGCTGAAGGGCAGAGACGCAAGAAAGTTACTGTCATTGCTGTTGCCCTTATGCATCAGAGATGTTTTATTAGATCAAAACATGGCCCAAACTTTTGCTCTGCACTCTGAGTATCTCACTACTGTCACTCAACACTATTGGATCCTATCTGACCTCTCCCACAGATATTTTTTAAGGAGATCATTTCAGCCCCCCTAGAAGTTACATTTCTCCTAGTAAACAAGTCAACATGTGGTTTATACATCCATCTTTGTTGAGTAGGGAGAGTAGAAGTCAGTTTCCCCTGTATTTCATCATTTCACATTAATTCCTAGACTTAAAAGAGTCACCTCTGATTGAACAGTGTCTAGATGTTCTGGGGGACATTCAGTGGCCTAGATATCATAGATAAAGTTGACTTATTTTCTTCCAAAAATATCCAATGACTTCAATGAAATCAAGGGCACACTTGAGTTGCCTACCTAGAGGGGCTGTCTGATGGGAGCCACAAGCCATGCAGTAGTTTCTGCTCATTTTTCCTTCCTCACATAATGAATCAATAAAGTCTTCATCATAAAGGAATGCATCAACGTGAACTGTGGGTTCTGGCTGCTGCTGTATCTGGAGGAGAGAGCAAAACATCAAAAGAAACAAAGTACAAAGAGGTCTCTTTTTATTGCTAAGGCAAAACATCAGTGGCTTATATGCCCAACTTCTGAGTGCAAAAACACAAGAGAGGAAGTTTTGATGCAAGTCAGGAACTGCTGTACTCATTTTATTACTGAGACAGTAATCGCTTTTTATTAGGCCTAGAATGATACAGAACATAGAAAGAAATATATAAAATTTTAACTGAAAGGAATATTAGAGATAATATTTTCCATCCTAAGTAGCATATTTTACAGACAAAGAAATTGATACTCAAGGAGATTTCTCCAAAGAAACTACCTTACTTTTTTTTTTTTTTTGGGTCCGGTCATGGGGCCTGAACTCTGGGCCTGGGCGCTGTCCCTCAGCTCTTCAGCTCAAGGCTAGTGCTCTACCACTTGAGCCACAGCACCACTTCCGGCTTTTTTCTTTTTGCTTATGTGGTGCTGAGGAATTGAACCCAGGGCCTCATGCATGCAAGGCAAACGCTCTACCACTGAGCTACCTTCCCAGCCCACTACCTTACTTATTTTGTTTTTTGTTTTTTTTGTTTTTGGGTCCGGTCGTGGGGCTTGAACTCTGGGCCTGGGCGCTGTCCCTCAGCTCTTCAGCTCAAGGCTAGCACTCTACCACTTGAGCCACAGCTCCACTTCCGGCTTTTTTCTTTTTGCTTATGTGGTGCTGAGGAATCGAACCCAGGGCCTCAGGCATGCAAGCGCTCTACCACTGAGCCACTTTCCCAGCCCCCACTACCTTACTTATAATGAAGAATTTTGCTGGAAGTGGAGCTTTGGCTCAAGCGGTAGAATACTAACCCCCTTAAGCACAAAAGCTCAAGAACAGCACACAGGTCATGGGTCAAGCACCAGGACTGGCACACACACACACACACATAACAAAAGAATTTTGTGCCTATAATCCAGCTACTCAGGAGGCTCAAATCTGAAGATTGTGGTTTATGTTAGTTCAGGCCGAAAAGTCCACAAGACTCTTATCTCCAATAAACTACCCAGAAAAAAGCCAGAAGTGGCTCTGTGGCTCAAGTGGTAGACCACCAGCCTTGAGTACAAAGAGGCTCAAGAAAAGCACGCAGACCCCGAGTTCAAGCCCCAGGAAAAATAAAAAGTATTTTGCACAGATACCTAAAAATTTTACCGATAGTCTCACACAGGCATAAAAATGCCATATGTGTTAAAATCAAGTATGCATATACAAAAAGATCAGAAAGAAATCTAGGGGGCTGGGAAGGTGGCTCAGTAGTAGAGTGCTTGCCTTGCATGCATGAGGCCCTGGGTTTGATTCCTCAGCACCACATAAGCAGAAAAAGCAGCCGGAAGTGCTGCTATAGCTCAAGTGGTAGAGTGTTAGCCTTGAGCTGAGGAGCTCAGGGACAGCAGCTAGGCCCAGAGTTCAGGCCCCACAACCAGCCAAAAATCAATCAATCAATCAATCAAGGAAGATAAAATATTTTATTTGGTTCCAATATTTTTTTTTTTTTTTGGTCTGGTCGTGGGGCCTGAACTCTGGGCCTGGGTGCTGTCCCTCAGCTCTTCAGCTCAAGGCTAGCACTCTACCACTTGAGCCACAGCGCCACTTCCAGCTTTTTTTCTTTTTGCTTATGTGGTGCTGGGGAATCGAACCCAGGGCCTCACGCATGCAAAGCAAGTGCTGTACCACTGAGCCACCTTCCCAGCCCCTTGGTCACAATATTATGGGTCAATTTTTTATTAAAAATCTTTATTAAACAGAAGGGTTACAGTTACATAAGTAGAAAAACTAAATTTCCTCTAGGATAATGTTATTCAGTCCCTTATTCTTTCCCATCAATTATTAGTGTATAATAAATGCTTTTATCCTCCAACCCAAGTATACTAATTTTATTTAATGTACTTACTTTTTGAAGAGCTAGATGTTCTGAAGAAAGCATGGTTTCTAGAGGCAAGCAGTTCCGAAGGTCATCCGCTATGTTTTTCAACATAATGTCAGTATTATCATGTATGAATTCATCAAAATCTCCTGGGAAAAGAAGAAAATAGCTCTTATACTTGTAGTCATACCTAGATCAACTGATTACCATGAGTATATTTTCCAGTATATAGCTTCAGTTTAGAGCCAGGCACTGGTGGTTCATGCCTGTAACCCTAGCTACTCAGGAGGCTGAGATTTGAGGATCCTGGTTTAAAGCCAGCCCAGGTAGGAAAGTCCATGAGATTCTTATCTCCAATAAACCATCAGATCTCATCCCTGAGTTCAACAAAATGTCCTAAGATTTGGCACCCACTTCATTTTATTTATTTATTTATTTTTGGGTCCAGTTGTGGGGCCTGAAGTCTGGGCCTAGGCGCTGTCCCTCAGCTCTTCAGCTCAAGGCTAGTGCTCTACCACTTGAGCCACAGCGCCACCTCCAGCCTTTTTCTTTTTGCTTATGTGATGCTGAGGAATCGAACCCTTGGCCTCATGCGTGCAAGGCAAGTGCTCTGCCACTGAGCCACCTTCCCAGCCCTTGGCACTCACTTTATACTAAAGTTAACAATCATATTATGCCTGACATTGGATGTTCTAGTAGGAGAGGAGGGGAAAGGAAGCTCTATAGTTGAACCATTCACTCTTACAGTATGCGAAATTTCTCACCCCCTCTCTTTTGTGCTGGTATTGGGGCTTGAACTCAAAGCCTTGTGGTTTTTATGCTTAAGGCTGGTGTTCTACCATTTGAATCACACTTCTACTTTCAGCTTTTTCCTGGTCAATTAGAGATAAGAGTCTCATGTACTTTCCTGTTCAGGCTGACTTTGAACCATGGTCTTCAAATCTTAGCCTCCTAGTAGCTAGAATTACAGATGTGAGCCACCAGTGCCCAGCTATAACTTTCTTATATTAAATTCTTGATAGAGTGAAGAAACTCAAGTGGATTATGCCTTTTTTACTGTTAGCTGTGAGACTGTATGCTGTGATGGAACACACCTGTAATTTCAGTACTTGGAAGTAGAGGATAATCACAAGCAGAAGTCAGTCTAGGCTACGTAGCAAGACTGTCTGCCTCTATTTCCCAACAAAAAATAGCTGAATGGGTTGAGGCTGTAAGCCAGTGGTTGAGCACATCTTTGGAATGGGTGAATTGGAAAGAAGGAAGGAGGGAAGGAGGAAAGGAAGGGAGGAAGGGAATAAGGGAGGGATGAAGGGAGAGAGGGAGGGAAGAAGGGAGAAAGGAAGGAAAGGAGGGTGTGAGGGAAGGAGGGGAAGAAGGGAAAAATGCTATAGAAGGAAAACAGGAAATCTTGAAAAATGCATCCATTTTTGCAATCTCTAAATGTTTTAAAATAGGCTCATAATTTCCTGATTCCTAGCTACTCAGAAGGTTGTGTGTGATCTGTGGTTTAAAGCCAGCCCAAGCAGAAAAGTTTCATATAGAAACTAAGTCATTTAACTATTATCCTGAAAACTGTGTTTTTTGTTTTCATTACATCATTCTGTATCCTACATAGATAGATCTTCACTCTACATCCTATTTCTCTTTGAGCAATAGTAGTTAATGCTAGGATATATTATTTCACTCTCTAATCTGATAAGAAGACCTCTTAACTCTTTTCTTTTCTCCATTATCTAGTATAATATACTAAGCTACTGCTTCAAATAATTTCTAGGAGATAATATAAATTACACACAAACAAAAGTTGTACTATCAAAACACATTTCAAAATTGCTCCAGATAGAACTTAAGTAGCAGGACTGGGAAGGTGGCTTGCCTTGCATGCCTGAGGCCCTGGGTTCGATTCCTCAGCACCACATAAGCAAAAAGAAAAAAGCCAGAAGTGGCGCTGTGGCTCAAGTGGTAGAGTGCTAGCTTTGAGCTGAAGGGCTGAGGGACAACACCCAGGCCCAGAGTTCAGGCCCCACGACTGGACCCCTCCCCCCCAAAAAAAAATAACTTAAATACCATCTTTGGTTTTACCATCCTGGCCCTTTTCCCTAAAATTTAATTAAATTTTCTCAAGGTGCTAATACTTAAAATTCTACTTAGATTCCCTCCAGAGACAGACACTATAGAAGAGCTTCTAAGATTCAAATTTTATTCTACTAATATTACTTACATCTGCAATTCTTGTAGATGGTATAAAAAGGTAAAAACACCCTGAAGTAAAATATTTCATGGTCCAACTTCTTTAGGTTTAGTTCTGAATACAATCATAATAATGAAACAGTTTACATATAAAATCTATGAGTCTTAGAATGGAAAAGAACTTACATTATGACTTTTTACTAAGTGGCAGAATACCATGCAGGAATCTTTGGGTATGAAACGTAATTGTTCAGTTTTTAACACATTCAAGAACAGCATTTCCCTAGATTATGCCAGAATTGACCTATGACTCCGCTGTTAGTGTTTTTTATTTTTCAATTCAGCCTGAAAAGTACCATTTTTTTTTTTTTTTTTTTTTTGTCGGTCGTGGGGCTTGAACTCTGGGCCTGGGCGCTGTCCCTCAGCTCTTCAGCTCAAGGCGAGTGCTCTACCACTTGAGCTACAGCGCCACTTCCGGTTTTTTGGTGGTTTATTGGAGATAAGAGTCTCACGGTCTCTCCTGCCAGGGCTGGCTTTGAACCGTGATCCTCAGATATCAGCCTCCTGAGTAGCTAGGATTACAGGCGTGAGCCACCAGCGCCCGGCGAAAAGTACCATTTTTAATGCATGAGCATACTAAACTTTGTGCAGTGCTTCCTTGGCCAGTTGCTGGTGGCTCACACACCTGTAATCTTAGCTACTCAAGAATGAGCTCTGAGGATCATGGTTTGAAGCCAGTCCAGGTAAGAGTCTCTGGGTTTCTTATCTCCAATTAACCATCAGAAAACCAGAAGTGGACCTATGGCTCAAAGTGATAGAGCAATATAGCCTTGAGCAAAAAAGCTAAGTGACAGTGCCCAGGCCCTGAGTTCAAGCTCTCTGACCACCACCAACAAAAAGTCTTGAAGATGATTATTATAAAATTAATTTTACAATGAAAGAATCTTGAGATTAGGTTAAATTACTTCCTAAGGTCACACTGGCCAAAAACTCAAAAGATTTAAAGGCAGGTCCAAACCTGATTTCTGAACTACCATATGGTTCAGCCTCTCTAAAGGGTAAAAGCAGCTAACAATCCTTACTCTGGCCCTCTTCCCCTCTCCTCTTCTTAAATCTCAGCATGGCTCTTCATTTGATATGACAGCCATACCCTTCTGCCATCTATTTGCTATCTTGTAGCCTTGCTCAACAGCCCCTTTAAATGTGACCCTGAAATAAAATGATCTGGTCATCTGGCTCTTCAGTCCAAGATCACTTTAGCATATTTTAACTATCAGTTTGCAGAACTTTAATTCAGAGTGCTACTGCTATTGATGAGTTGTAAAGGTGGTGATGGCAGAGGCCCATAACATGATTATATGTAACATCTAGGGAGTAAAAGAACTGGGAGAGAGAGGCTTCAATTTTTGCGGAGCCAAACTCCCAATAAACGTGGGAATTACCAGTCAAGATGAAAGATGCTGTGTGCTGAACCTTCTTAGACAACCTATACACATGGTCAGAAAAACGCAATAGGCATTTACACTAAACCAGATTTGCTTTTGTATGTAAGGAGAGTAGGGTTAGGCATAAATACTTAGAACAGTGAAATGGCAACATTATTAGGAAGTTGTACAGTTCTCCCCATACACTCACAGGGAACTTTTCTAGAAACAGCTGTTCATTACAAGACTTAAGCTTTGGCTATCATCACTGTCCAAAGGAAATCTGTGATTATCAAGAACCAGGTGTCTCCATCTTAGACTTGCCCAAAAGCCAAAACCTGCTGCCCTGGCTAAACACTAAAAACCGTTGGGGGGGAGGGGGGGCGGAGAAGGAGACAAAAACACAGGAGCTAGACTTTTGGAACTTTCTCTGGGAAGAATAAACACAAGGAACTAATTTTCAAGCCGGAAAAGTGTAGTCCTGAACCGTGCACCCGAATTACTTTTCAGCTAATACTCTAACTGGCATCACTGAACAAACACTACACTTAGTAGAAAATACTGGCCTATCTTAGAATCACCACATCAAAACCCTAAAACTACAAATAATTAAAAATGTATAATTGTGGGGCTGGGATGGTGGCTCAATGGTAGAGCGCGCTTGCCTTGCATGCATGAGGCCCTAGGTTCGATTCCCCAGCACCACACAAGCAAAAAAGCCGAAAGTGGTGCTGTGGCTCAAGCGGTAGAGCGCTAGCCTTGAGCTGAAGAGCTGAGGGACAGCGCCCAGGCCCAGAGTTCTGGCCCCACGACCTAAAGAAAAACCGTATAATTGTGAAAAACCAAGCTTCAAGCGTTAACAAAAACTTGCTAACCTAACAATGGCATCTAATAATGCTTTTAATCCTAACCAATGAGGACAGAAATTTGAAAATAATTGAAACCCAGTAAGAACAAAAAAAATGCAGAAAACCTTCATCTCCAATAAGCCCCCAACAAGAAAAAAAAGCAATAATATAGTGGGGAGAATGACTCAGACGCACAGTTTGAGCTCAAAAACAGCTTAAGCTTTCCAACGCTCAAAGAAAACAAAAAAAATCACTACAGGTCTACCTTTTAACCAATTTACCAGGGGAGAGCGCGAACGCAGTCCCCCACTACCACAAATTATGCAGTCGAGTTTCCCACATTTGGGGAAATCGCAGGGGTCAGCACATCCGGAGTGCAATGGATAAGCCTCGCCCTGGGAAAACCACCTTCGTGATCATGGTATCTCCCCTGCCAGGTAAGTATGAGTTGCTAACTGCTTTCGACCCACACCCTGGCGCCGGTCTCGCACTACACTCACGGTCACCTCCATCGCGTGGCCTCCGCACCCTCATGCCCTTCAGAACTCACTTGTCTTCGTAGTTGCCAACCGAAAAAATCATCCTGTACGTTTTGAATATTGCCCACGCGGGACATGGAGGACCAAGATAAGTGGGACCAGCAATCTCCGCGCGCCGTCAATCTGCATACGCCACGCCCTCGCGGCG